AAATGCATTTGTATTTGAAAAGCCATAAAAAAAATTGTTGTCTATCTGTTAGTTCTTCTTTTTGAGACTGGCTTACATTTCATAGATTTATTTCCTTATTAAAAAAAAAAAAAAAAAACAAATTCGAAATGTTGCGCTTGCGCAACGATGGGTAAAGATGGGTTAAACCAAGAATTGCCGAACAATAGTTGCCGTGTGTAATAACGGACTTTAGGCAATGATATTGCCCACAATATATGACATACAAATTTTGACGYTTTTCAATGGGTTGCCTATTAATTTTTTATTAAAATATTTATAAGTTAAAACAAAAACATTCACGGTTTAAAAATTAACGGAACAAAACTAAAGCTCTCTTTCTCCTAATACTTAGGTTTGAGTCCTGTCCTTTCGGCCTTTTTAGACATCTTATGCCATTCGACTTTTTAATATTATATTTCGATTCATCTGAGAATAAAATGGTATTCAATTTCTAAATGCTTCAATCGAGATGARCTGTCTCAAATAAGAGTTTGGCTTCTACATTTTGCTAAAGTAAAGATCTTTCTAGCGGAACGCCAACAGAACAGCCCGCCCTCAACAGCTCGTCTTCTAATTGTTGGTGTATTAATTAGTAAACAAAAGTTTTTAATTGGAAAAGACTGTAGGWTAAATTTGGATAACCTAATTGATCAATGACTCGTCTCTTTATGTAGTTTTTTGCTGCCTTCCTGAACTGTGCCGACAAAGTACAATGCCAGTTTGCTGAAATTTATTTATTAATCCAGGGCATCACTGATCTATTCACCGAGTATTTTTAACTAATTTTATGTTGAGATAAACTATTTTGCACACCACTTGTTATTTTATTTGTAAAGGTTGAATAAGTATTTTTTGATTCTTAAACTCTAAATCGCAACTGAACAGTGACGACAGCAAAAATATCTTTACAAAGTGTCTGAATAATATTTGAATCGGTTTATTCTTAACATCTTCAACGAATAACGTACTTTTACAGTAGCGTGGTACTATTTTTCTAATAAATATAAAAATATATTAATACTATTATTTTGTCCACTCAGATTTATACTTTAGAAAAGTTTTTTGTTTAAATTGTTGTACAAAGAAAGAATATATGACTTACCAAACTCTATAAGTCACTCATAATCCCC